AAATAAAAACCTAGGTAACTGCTAAATAATTACAGTCTAGAAGGTCCAACCTTCTTTCTGAGCCTATTTGTTCCCCACTTCTGCCAATTACCTTCATCTCATCCATCCAGTCCATGATGTACAACATCTCCTGGAATATCTTCTGCAGACCAAGGTTCATCTCCAGCCGTTGCCTGCGTGCCCTGAGCAGCTCCAGGAGGTACTCCCATAGGCGGAAGACGTTGTCTTTCCTGGCCGTGATGCGTTTGATGTCGTGGTAGTTCTCAGCCTCCAGCTCCTTAGCCACAGCCACCACCGCCTGGACCCTTTCCTCATAGGCGGCAATGTCCGTTTCGATGGCTTCGTGCTTCTTCGTGGCAGCCTCCACAGCGGGGAGGTCAAACCCAAAGTTGTCCTGTTAAAAGACAGAGAGGTCCGTTTTTTTAATGGCCCTGTGACAAGGGTTACTGAATGTGGGAAGATTTATGGACGGTATTTCTTCACGCAGCAACAAATTAGACAGAAGAATTCCAAACCACATGGAGGTGAATGAATGAATGAATGAATGAATTTTATTATTACGGTCACAGACCAGTTCCGGTTCACTTACAATATCAGGAAAATCATAAAACACAACAGGGATACATTGAATTGCAATTGAGTACAACAGAGACAATTCAGATATAGCAGCAGTTAAAAAAACTATATATTAAACCTTGATCACTAAAATGCCTTCAGATTCTTTTTTGTTCTGTTTCAATTTTGTTTATAATTTCTCCTAAAATAAAATACAATTGCTCAAACGTTTTCCAATACAGTCGTACATTGGAAGTCGAACAGAATCCGTTCCGGAAGTCCATTTGACTTCCAAAACGTTCGGAAACCAAAGAACAGCTTCTGATTGGCTGCAGGAAGATCCTGCAGCCAATCGGAACCCACAAAAGCCCCGTCGGACGTTCGGCTTCCAAAAATAGTTTGCAAACCGGAACAGCCACTTCCGGGTTTGCGGAATTCGGGAGCCAAAACTTGTGAGAACTAAGCTGTTCGAAAACCAAGGTACGACTGTATTTATTTCCTTGAGAGTCGACTTCCCATCCACCCTTCCACGGTTTCCTCAAATTATCTATTGCTGCTGCATGTTATCATGAATCTATACCTCCCTCCCTCCACCTTATTCTCAGAGTAACTTTTACTGCTGAGTTTCTCCAAACCTGCTAGCGTTTTCGCATGTTTACAATAGGTTTTTAAATAATCTACACACATTTCCAATACCCTCTAAAAGCCGTCTCATCTTGTTCTCTAATTTTACTAGTTAAGCTTGCTAATTCTGCATATGGACCAGTTGGAGAGCCAGCAAAGTAGAATTCAGAAACCATGTCACACTTCTGCCCTGTTCCTCGAATCATATCTACCTAACAGGTGGCATATTGCCAGGAAGTCGCATAAGTCGTAGAAGACGACAGTTGGAAGGTGCATGCCCCTATGCTGACTCTAGAGTAGGAGTAGGGAACTGGATTTAGTTCCCCACGCCAGGCAACCAGTTTTGCCCATGACAGTGGTCAGCTGTTAATCTCTGCGCAAAATCTGTGTCACAGAATTTGGCGAAGTGCCTCAGTAGCTCAGAGGCAGGATTTCTGCCTTGCAATTACAAGGTCCCAGGTTCAGTTCCCTTCATCTCCAGGTAGGGGCGGAAATGTCCTCTTCCTGAAAACCCGGAGAGACACTGCTAGCCAGTGCAGACAATACCAAAGTGCTGATTTTGACCTAGCAAAGCCTTAAACGGCTCAGGACTGCAATACCTCAAGGACCACCTCCTTCCAGATGAACCTACTCGGACCCTGAGATCATCTTCTGAGGCCCTCCTTCGTGTGCCTCCTCCTCGAGAGGTCGGGAGGGTGGCAACACGAGAACGGGGCCTTCTCTGCAGTGGCTCCCTGCCTGTGGAATGCTCTCCCCAGAGAAGTTCGCCTGGTGCCTTCATTATACACCTTTAGGCACCAGGCAAAAACGTTCCTTTTAACCAGGCCTTTGGGTGATCCGATTTACATCCTATGCCCTTTTAAAATGTGGTGGGGTTTTTTTTTGGGGGGGGGAGTATTGAGTTGTCGTTTTTATTATGTATTTTAAAGAGAAGAGTCTGGATTTGATATCCTGCTTTATCACTACCCTAAGGAGTCTCAAAGCGGCTAGCAATCTCCTTTCCCTTCCTCCCCCACAACAAACACTCTGTTAGGTGAGTGGGGCTGGGAGACTTCAGAGAAGTGTGACTAGCCCAAGGTCACCCAGCAGCTGCATGTGGAGGAGCGGGGAAGCGAACCCGGTTCACCAGATTACGATTCCACCGCTCTTAACCACTACACCACACTGGCTTGTATATCTTGATTTTATTCCATGAATCGCCCTGAGACCCCCCAGGTATAGGGCGGTATACAAATTCAATAAATAATAATAATACCAAGCTAGATGGACGAGTGCTCTGATAAGGCAACTTCCTTTCTTGTGTCTAACTGCACCTTAGAAATAGGCAACACTTGATGAGCAGTCGGACAAGCTTTAATTTTCTCTGAATTCCACAAGGGGGTTCAACAAGCTCTCAGAAGCTCAGTGCGGAGTGTGTTGGCCAAGCAAATGTTACTTTAAAAACACACACACACAAACACACACACACACCAATCTCACCTGAGAAACCAGTCGCTGGTTTTCGCTCAGCCACGTCTCCCTCATAGCTGCCTTGCGGTCGAATCTGCGGGCGAGTTGTTCCAGTTTCTCCTGTCGGATGAGCTCGTTACGCAGTGCCAGTTCTCTTTCATGTTCAGCTTTTTCCAGTCTTTCCCAGGCCTGGGTAAACCAAAAAATATATATGCATTTTTTTTAATAAAAAAAAAGAATTTACATAAAGAAAAAGTCTGTGAGAAATTCTATTAAGTGCTGAATCATCAATGCACAATAATATTAATAAGGAAAGATTCGGATGGTTGGCGCTAATTAGAGAATAGAAGGCACAGTGCGTGCATTTGGGGTGGGCCAAAGTGTCACAGAAGTTAGTTTTGCCCAAACAGGCACAAAACATGCCTCTTTTAGCCAGGTCATTTTCTTTTTATACTCTATTGGAATAGCTCTGGGGCTCTGCATGGCAGTAAATATATGTTGACACACAGAACCTGAGGCCTGACACAAGGGCCAGAGAGTAGCTTTCTTTCTTTTTTTAAAGGACACGTTTCTAGATCTCATGGCTGCAGCAAAAAACTGAAGTGAAGCAAAAGTGTAAAACCTAAAAACACGACATGTAATTCAGGACAGATATGAAAAACAAGGCTTAAGCTTCCTTTCACTGTATCCCTTTGGACCTGCAGAAAGAAAACGCTAAGAGCTGGGCAAGTCATTTGTATGGAACTCTCTGTTCCTTTTACTGAATGTGAGACCCCATCCTCCCTAGTCCTAAGCATTGATTCTCTTTATTTAGAAAATGTATTGATCGCTTTATATTCAGATGAATCTCAGAGTGCTGTACAAAGCAGAAATCAACATAATGCAAAATCATCATCATCATCATCATAAAAAACAATCTATCAAAACAACACTATCCTGTACCAAAATTAGCAGCAATCAGGCCAGGATTAACTTTCTACGAAGCCCTGGTGAAATAAAAATGTCTTCAAGAGGGGTGCCAAGTTCCCAAAAGGGACAGGGCCTGTCTTGATATCTTCTGGAAGGAAGCCCTATAGCACAAAGCCCTATAGCTATGCTACTGATTGATGTATCCATCACATTTACATCCCACCTTCCCTCACGGTGGTGCGCTCTCCTCCTTCTTGTTTTATCCTACAACAACCCTGTTAGGTAGGTTAGGCTGAGAGACCGTGAATGGCCCAAGGTCACCCAGTTGAGTTTAATGGCTGAGCAGGGATTTGTCCACTACGCAGTGGACGCTGGCAGGCCCCTGATGACCGCAGTGACCACACCAGCAGACAGGGCTAAGCTGACATCTCAGGTACCCTTGCTTCCCAAGCTGCAAAGGGTTTTGTTCAGTTGCGTACTTTGAAGCCAGAACCGTAACGGTGCTGTGCCTGAATGCTAAAAAGCAAGTCAGCCTATTTGTCACGTAAAGAAACAGATCTGTAATTAGCCACATGCCGTTCCGGAGGGTTTTTCCTAAATCCTGGGGATTGTCACGCTGCCTGGAACACAAGGATCTCCAGGATCTTACAGACAAGGGAGTCTTAGCAGACAAATACGGGAGTGGGAGAGTTTTATAGCTTGAAGCGATCCGGAGCCAAGCTTGCGGATGCAAGCAACAGCTGCCCTGCGAATTCCAGCCAGGATGAAAAAGCAAATTAGGAAGGCTTACCCTGTTTTAAAGCACTTTGCTTTTCCCCCCAGGGATCTCAGTGAGCTGCTTGCTGTTCAGCTGGCTAAACCAGAAAAGCAGCTCCCTGGCTCTCCCCACCCCATCCCGGCATCTTTGCTGCACTCCAATGAGACTCCCTGCAAGATGCCCCCATCGTACACAAGGGTCTTCTACAAGGAGGAAAGGTTATTGCATTTGGGACTTTTTAATTTGGAGAAAAGGCAGGCAAGAGGTGACATGATCTAAGTTCATAGAATTATACACGGCTTGGAGAAACTGGCTTGAGAAGAGTTTTCCTATAACAACAGCAGCAGCAGCAGCAACAATAATTGCATGCCGCCCATCTGACTGGGTTTCCCCAGCCACTCTGGGCGGCTCCCAACAGAATATTAAAAACACGATAAAACACCAGACATTAAAAACTCCCCCCTCTCTCTTTCAGAACAGAAGAATGTGCGGACACCCAACGAAAATGAATGTGGGAGGCTTCAGGACAGGCAAGAGAAAGTGCTTATTCACAGTGATGATGGCCATCAACTTGGATGGCTTTAAAAGAGAATTAGAGATATTAATGGGAGGTGATGTTATCAATGGCGGCTACCCCTAATGGAGATGTTCTGTCACCTCTTCCTTATCACAGAATCATAGAGTTGGCAGGGAATATGCAGCTATGCTTTACAAGGATTGAACCCGCAGCCTTGGTGTTATCAGCACCATGCTCTAACCAACTGAGCTAGAGTGTCCGTTGCTGAGAATTGCAGGTGGAGAGAGCACTGTTGTGTTAATGTCCTGCTTGCATGCTTCCCATCAGTATCTGGTTGGCCACTGTGGAAAAACAAGGTGGTGGACCAGATGTGTCTGTCAGTTTGCATTGCTTGGTACAGAAAGTATTGATCTGATGTGTAGAGATCTTTCCTATTGTAATTAATTCAAGAGGGTTCTGGAAGCTGCTCTGTGTGAAAGAAACAAGCAGAAGGTTCCTGATGTTTGGGTTATACCTTCAGAGAAGCTGAGTACAATGGCTTAAACTGATTCTGTTATCTCTTTCTGTCAAGGTCATGCTGAGTATAATAATAAGGCCAGAAGGAGCCTAGGTTTCACTCTTTTCTATCTCTCTTCCTTCTGGTGTCGTGTTCTGTATATAGTGTTAAGGTTTAGTCTTATTATAAGTTATTGTAAGTTAAATCTGCTGCAACTGGATTCCTTATGGACAGTGCCAATCCTGAATGTATTGGATTTATGAACATTATGCTCAATTGCCTTCAGTAGCAGTAAAGCTCTGCTGGATGAAATATTAATTGCCTCTGATCTATTTTTTGGGGAATCCTGCAACCTTTTAAAGTTTTTACTCTGCCAACTATATATCAGAGTTCTGCTCTGGATCAATATGAGTAGAATTTGTGACAGTGTCTTTGGCCTGAGATCCAACAGGGCTCTTTTTTCATGTTCTCTCTCATCCACCTGAGAAAGATAATTCTGGGTACAATGTTCTATCTGCACTGAGGTGAATAGAAGCCACAGAAGGGCACAATTGCCTCTCTCATTCCAACAGGCCAGGCATTATCCATTGGGTCTTACTAGTAGCTTGCACACCATGTCTCAACATAAGAAAAGCTCTGCTGGATCAAAGCCACGGACCATCTATGCCAGCATCCTTTTCTTACAGTGGCCAACCAGAGACCTATGGGAAGCAACTTCTGCTCTGCAGTGGGTAGCAAGTGCAGTCCCCCCGGGAGATCAAAACTGCAAGGAAAGGTTGAAGGAGCCAGGTGTATTTAGCCTGGAAAAGAGGAGACATGATAGCCACCTTCAAATATCTCAAGGGCTGTTACATGGAAGAAGGAGCCAACTTGTTTTCTTCTGCTCTGGAGAGTAGGCTTCAAACCGATGGCTTCAAGTTACAAGAAAGGAGATTCCATCTCAACATCAAAAATAACTTTCTGATGGTAAGAGCTGTTCGACAGTGGAACGGTCTCCCTTGGGAGGTTGCAGACTCTCTTTTGGAGGTTTCTAAGCAGAAGTTGGGTGACCATCTTCCATGGATGCTTTAGTTGAGATTCCTGCATGGAAGGGGGTTGGACTTGGGGTCCCTTCCAACTCTGCAATTCTATGATTCTATGAAATGGGGTTGCTTTAGTGGAGCTATGTGTACATAGACAAGGAAAGGTATCCCTAGAGGGCACTTTTGAACTGTTGCAGCTCCTTTTCAGTGGTGGCTCCTTGTTTTTGCAATGCCCACCGCAAGGAGGCCTACCTGGAGAAATTTCACATACGGCACTTGTGTGCCATTTCAGGCTTGTTCTTGGCTGGAGCTCGTGGCTATTACAGAGAGAGCTTAACAATGAGCCCTGGTATGGATGGCATGCGAAGCCAAACCTTGGTTTAGTGAGGTGAGGGGGCAAACAGGATCAGAGAAGGGGACATCTTCTCTGAGACCAAGCACATTTGTCCATTATTTGGCTGCTTAATAATAATAATAATAATAATAATAATAATAATAAATTTTATTTATACCCCACCCTCCCCGGCCAGAGCCGGGCTCAGGGCAGCTAACACCAATAAAATTACAGTAAAAACATAATGGGGGGGGGGGACCAATTTAAAATACAATTTAAAATGCAGCCTCATTTTAAAATACTTGATAAATCAAGACCATAAGGGGAGGGAAACATAAGGGCCAGACTGAGTCCAAACCAAAGGCCGGGCGGAACAGCTCTGTCTTGCAGGCCCTGTGGAAAGATGTCAAATCCTGCAGGGCCCTAGTCTCTTGTGACAGAGCTTTCCACCAAGTCGGGGCCAGTCCTAAAAAGGCCCTGGCCCTAGTTGAGACCAATCTAACCACCTTGCGATTTGGGACCTCCAAAATGCTGTCATTTGTGGACCTGAAGGTCCCTCCGCGGGGCATACCAGGAGAGGCGGTCCCGTAGGTATGTGGGTCCTAGGCCGCATGGGGCTTTAAAGGTCAAAATCAGCACCTTAAACCTGACCCTGTACTCCACTTGGATGTGTTATGCAAACCAAGCCACTGTTGTGGTGGTGGTTTTACACCATTTAGAGGTGCTTTCTGTATAAAAAAAAGCAGTCTGTAATTTTTAAAATAAGAAAATGAATACTACAAATAAAGGCATGCTAGAAATCCTATCCCTGGTCCACACAGGACTCTCAGCATGGAACAGCCTGATCCACAAAGTACCCATAGGCTCAGCTGCTTACACTACAGAAAACAATTAATCCAGGAAGTTGCATATTTACCTTGTTGATATCTGAGATGAGTTTCCCTTCCCTGGGCATGTACACTTTCTGATTATTAGCCCTCATTTTGCTTTGGATGGTGAAGAGCAGGACTTCCAAGTTTCCTTTTTCTGTGAATCTAAAAGAAGATAAAAAAACGAGGGGAGCCGAAAGGGAAACGTTAACTCTCCAAGCAAGCGACCAGACATTTTGTCCCGATATCGACGTATTTTATATGGTTGACAGTTCTTGTTTTTGAATCCCCCCTTCCCGGATTTTATATTGCTGCATGCAAGACACATGTGCTCAGCTAGAAACAGCTGGTTCAAATGTCACAATCCGGACAGGTCAGCCGATCGACCGTTTGCATTTAGCTCCCAGCAGATGAAAGGAACAAGCTTTTATTATTATTATTAAATCTTTTCTCGCACTGTCTGCTTTGTGCGCGCTTGCTGACTGCTGAATTCGAAGCCTCACTATGCGATTCCTGCAGTTGACGGCAAAACGCCCAGCTAGGTTTCCGCCGCAGGATCGGAGCCTTCGAGCGTTTACAAGAGGCTTTTCAATGCTGCACAATTTGTGCATTTTCAAACAGGCATGTCGGAGTCAACTTGATAAACAGTCTGGGTGTTGCTCTGAAAATCACCGGTTTAAACTTACTCTGAGTTATGCTACCGTGAGATAAGGTACATGGCTCAATCCTGAACAATACGCTGGAGTGTACATAGAGCTTTTTTGCAAGAGAGGGCTTCCCCCTTCACTCCAATGTCCATGCATACAATGAACGTGCAATGTCCAGGGCATCTGCTGACAGTGAAGAAAACGAGAGAGCAGCTCCTGGCACATTAGAGGTCCTGTGAGTCGTGGTGTATTTATGATGTTTGATGCCCCTGGGCAGAGGACAAGCTTACTCACTTCTCCAGGTAAGTGTGCATGAAATTACCTGGGAGTAAGCCACTTATCTCCATGTGATTTACTTCTGAGTGTAAATACAAAAGAGTTTCCTGTAAAATGCAGGAGAAGCGTTACCCCCAAACAAAACACCAACAGGATAAGGCTGGCAAAACCAACCCAATCAAGATCAGTAAGATAAAAAGCTAACTAAATAATATCTGAGAATAACTTTTGAACATATAAGGGCGGTTGCTGGACTGTTGCCAAAGAAAGCCAAACGGATTCCAAAACGCTTCAAATTAAAAACGCGTTCATTCGATTAATGTGTTTGGTAGAGCAGAAAGCTTTCAAGATGCACAGGGCTCTTCTTCCGTCCAAAAGGAACAGCTCTGTGCGACTCAAAAACCTGCCAACTTCTCAACACATAAAAAGTAATAAGCTACTATGATTCCCACTTCTGTTTGTTGGCATACCAGGTATTTGCCCAATAAAAGGTACTGTATTAAACATTTGGGACGCCTACGCAAAGATAAATTGTCGTGGGCTGCAGTGAGCTGCTCCTTCCCACAACGCCTTTTCTGCTTTGTGGGTGTGTGCAACTGCTTGCACCCCCTTTTGCTTGCATGCTACAGCGGAGACAACTGCAATCATCTCCAGCATATAATAATGTCCGTGACACACACCACTTAGAGCCTTGCAGTTCTGTTTGTGGAGACAACAATTTGGTGGCGGGAGAGACCACAGAGGAAGTAGTACAAGGAGAAACGAAGCTTTTAGCAAATGTCAGAAGGCATCTAACCGTGAACTAAGGAGGGCTTGTGAAACACGAGCAGCGTAATTAGCTTCTAATTGTCTGGGACTGGAAGATGCAAACTGCCTAAAGGCTCCCCAACTGTTTTGATCGAGCTGGGATTAATTCCCGAAAAAGGACAGTGTCGGACGAGGCCTACTTGGGTGGCTTCTCCACTGTGCGGTAGGTGTTGAACGCCTGGAGCTGTTGCTGCACCCCAACCAGGGAGTTGGCAAACTTGCGGTTGTTCAGGATGATGATGGTTTGCTCAATCCACTCCAGGAGGTCGGAAGCCAGCGACTCGTACTTCTCAATCATCTTCTCCGTTTCGATGGCGTTGTCAAGCACCTGGGACAAGCAGGCAGAAAGGGGCATCTGAGGACCTAGGACAAGTGCTCTCCGTGGGGGACAGGAGACAGGGCCATAGCTGTCAACTTACAGATTTGAAAATAAGGGACCAGCAGCCTCGAAAATAAGGGACCAGCAGCCAAAATAAGGGATTTTCCGGGCACTGGTATGTTCAACTTCTGAGCCCCTCCGAGCCAAAGGCAGAAAGCCCAGCCAGCAGCCAAACGAAGCCTCATCAATAAGGGGCAGCAGCGGGACATGGCGCTGGGATAAGGGGCTGTCCCGCCAAATAAGGGACGCTTGACAGCTATGGACAGGGCTGGAAAAGAAGCCAGTGAGGCAAAACCACCGACTCCTGACAACGCAAAGCAATGAAACAGTAGGAGAGGAGTGTTGACTCAGAAAGAGCCGTGTTTCCATGATCCCAGGTTGCTCCGGGGGGAGCGTGACGGATGGGGTCTTATGACTTCAGAGA